CCACTTCGTAAAAAAAAGACGGTTCTCGGGAAACACAAGAGATGAAAATAATTATGCAAAAATAAATAAATAAAAAAAGATAAACAATAAATTAAATAAAAAGGAAAAAACAAAATCATTAAACGTCTCCTCCAGGGAATCGATCCCGCTACCGTCAAACCTACATTGGATTTGCAAGCGGCGCCTTAACGCGGTGCGCCACTGGATCACTCTCATTTACATAATAATAGACCACTTGACACTTTCACCGAATAGACTACCCCAATTTGACATTATACTTTCGATAGTTGCCTAGTTAGTGCAAGGGGTTATCCATCAGTGTCTAGGGGCCGGATAGCTTCTCCCTCACTGGCTTTTTAGTTAGCGCGAAGTTAGGACCAATTATCGGGATAGCATGGAAGAGCCGAAATCTCTAACCGGAATGTAAATCGATTCGCCGCCTCAGCTTCACAGAATGTCTCGGGGGAATCGTCCCAACCTTTTTTCGATTTTATGGTCATGGATTCGAATCGCACGACTCAAGTTTTTTCTTTTTTCATATTACTTTTTTTTTTTTTGCTTTTTGTTGTTGTCTTTGATTAGATTCCTACATTAATGTTTGTTTGCAATATCTGCAGAATCATTTAGTAATTATTTCTATATATTTCAATAATGTGATATTTTAAAGCGCGCTTTCATTGGCTTGTTTTCATTAAACGTATAATAAGTTTTCACAGCGCAGCGATTGCGCAACCGAGAATCAATTTTTAAACAGAGTGGCTGAGTTATGTTTGCTATTCGTACGGATATGGCATATATTCTGAAATTTTAAAATAATTATATAAGATATCTATTTTAAAATACTATTATTTTGTTTAGAGCCAATAAATAATATTTATAATATATAATAAATATAATATAACAGAACATTTACAAAAAGATTTACAAAAAAAAAAAATTACAAGCGCGCGCCTGCATCGGAGTTGACTGTCCTTCTGAGGGACAACACTGAATCACGGCTCACGCTATAAAAAAAAATATTCACGCCTCATGGCTAATTTTTTCGCATTTTCACGACTCACGGCTAATTTTTCAGCCGTTTCGCGGCTTACGGTTAACCCCATAAGACCCTCATTTGCATCATACATAAATTAAATCTTTTATTACTTTTCAATTTTGAAGTCTAAATGAGCTATTTTCCGTGTCCTATCGTAGTGAGACGGCAAAATTTATAATAATTGGATGTTCGCCTACTCATTAATTGCTATCTCTCAAGTTTACGTCACAGTGCCTGTTGTTTGCGTCACAGTGCCTGTTGTCTACACTATAGTGTGTGCACTTTAACCGTTTTCATTGTGTTTTACTCTTGCCGCAATGAATAAAAAAGTCACTGAGTTTGGCAGACAGCTTGACGGATGAAAAACAAGGATACCTTGACGAATAGATAATTCCCGTTTAATTGAAATCATCATTAAGTGCAAACGTTAGATAAGGGCGGCGAGACGATTCATAAACTCCTTTTTGTTCTYTTTTCTTATTTTTCATTTCTAGGTACGTGCCGAGGAAACTTAGCCGCTGTATCCGATCGAGGATATTGCATGGGCGCGCGGAGATACGGATTTTATCTTCGAGTGTTGAAAATATYTCTCACGAGTGAGCGTATAGTATATAGTTACATATATGAAAGCAAATTATGTCGTAAAATTCCTTCTTTTTTACTTCCACTATATATAGMAACCTCGAATGTGCTATTTTCACTAGTGAAAATATCAATTTTACGAAATGGAGAAATATAGGTATTTCGTTGATAATTAAACGTGATGTACTACTACTRTGAAAGAGTTTATGACCCACGTAATGACGTTTTAAATCATGAATAATTACAGACTTCCTTTGAAAATCATTTGAGGAAAATGAATGAAACAGCTGTGCAGAAAATATWTACAAATGTAGCCAGGGCTGCGGCGATGAAATAAATATAATTTCGGAATCCAAGCTTTCGCTGTACTACAGCATCGTCAGGGAATGCATGAGAAGAAGAATATTCTAAACTAATAAGAGTGGATGATTCAAAGCGTTAAAGTGAACGTCTTCCGTTTACTCGTCTTGAAACAGGTGTGTTTCGATAAGAGAAAGTTGATTTAAGAAGTTGTCGAAGAAAACCATGGATGGACGACC